CACAGTCATCGGATCCACTGTTGCAGTATCGCAGTGCTTGTGTTCAAGTCACCATTCTTTTACTTAATAATGGCCCCAGAGTGTAAGAGTAATGATGCTGGCACTTTGGAAAGGCCAAAGAGAAGCCCAAAGTGCTTCCTTTAGGTGAAAAGGTTTGTATGTATACCAAAAACATAGAATATACATTTTTTTTTTATTATTAATGCCTATAGCACCTGGTCTTCCTAAGTGGTCTCCCATCTAAGTACTAATCAGGCTCAACTCTATTTAGCTTCTGAGATCAGACATTGGGCTTGTTCAAGGTGGCATAGCCATAGACCATAGACCATAGTTCCACTGGGGCGTGAACCCAGGACCTTTCGCGTGTAAAGCAGACATGCTAACTGCTACACTATGGAACCACATCCCCCCAAAAACCTATAGAATATATAGAGTTCCGTACTATCCACGGTTTCAGGCATCCACTTGGGGTCCTGGAACTTATTGCCCTCCGATAAGGGGGGACTACTGTAGTTTCTTTTTGTTTCCTAGTGACTGCCCCATCTGCTATGTTAATTTTCTTTTTCCTGCCAGATAAAGGCTATGGAGATCCTTAATGACAATTTCATCCTGATTCTCATTTTCATTCATTTTAAAATGCAGTCTTGGATACTAGATCATCTTACAGAATGATTGCTCATGTTTTTAGGAGTGACAATGATATTGTAATTCTGTAAGAGGATGGCCTTGTTCTTAGAGGATACATGCTGAAGTATTTAGGAGCCAAGACCTAGAATGATTCAGCAGATATTCACTTGTGTGCAAGCATCTGTGTGGATTCAGAGAGAGAAAGAGAGAGATGGGGAGAGAGAGAGAGAGAGAGACGGAGAGAGAGAAAGAGAAAACAAACAGCATGAAAAGTTAACAACTGCTGATTCTACGTGGAGCTATATGGAATTTACTGTACTAATCTCTCAACTTTTCCACTGAATTAAGATTTTTCACAACAAATATTTGAGAGAAAAAAAACTTTGGCTGAAACCTGATTCCAAGTTCATAGGGAGGGAAAGGTCTTGCTTCTTTTGAAAACTCTAGCTCTCATTTCTGCCCCCTAAAAGGAAGCACTCACTTTGACTTCATCATCGACTGGCCTCCCCATCCCTCCTGACACTCCAGCCCTCCAACCTGCAGCATGTTCCCACCTCAGGGCCTTTGCCCTGGCTGTTCCCCCCTGCCAGGAACGCTGTTCCCTCAGATATGGGCATGACTCCTTTACTTCAGTCAGGTCTTTAATCAAATGTTTTCTTCTCAGAGAGATGCTCTCTGACCACTCTTGTGAAAAATCGCACCCATCACTCTATCCCGTTCTCTTTTTTCCCCAAAACATTTATCACAACCTGCCATGTATCACACATCTACTTGTTTATTTCTTTATTTTTCATCTTCTCCTTACAATATCAACTTCAGCAGAACAGAATTTTTGTCCCTTTTCTTCCTCCCACTGCTGTAGCCCTAGGTCCTGGAACACGGAATGTGCTCGATAAATATCAATAAATATTTTTGAACGAACGAATGAGTGAATTAACGTATTTTCCCATTAGCCAAAGCCCTTACCAGACTTTGAGATCCCTGATGGCAGAGTCTGTGTGTGTCACTCTGCATCCTCTACACTCAATATCTGATAGAAACAAGTATTCAGAAAATGTGTGTCAAATGAAGAAAAAAATACACATATGACAGGAAGTAGAACTGTGGCTGGCTGCGGCGAGGGGTGGGAATGGGAAGTGACTGCAAGCGGGCTAAATAAGTCTTTTTTAGGGTAATGGAAATGTTCTAATGTCGGATTGTGGTGATAGCTGTACAACTGTATAATCATCCCAAATCATTAAAGCGCTTAAAATGGGTGAATTTTATGATATATAGATTAGACCTCAGTAAAACTATTAAATAAAACAAAGCAATATGCGGGTTTTGGGAGGAAATGTATGCTCCCTAGGACAGGGGTACCCTGTCCACGGACTGGTACTAGGCCACACAGCAGGAGCTGAGCAGCTGGCCAGCGAGCGAAGCTTCATCGGTATTTGCAGCCACACCCCTGCGGTAGCATCGCCGCCTCCGCTCCACCTCAGATCACCAGGCATTAGATTCTCATAGGAGCACCCATCTCTGGTGCCCAAAAGCTTCCGGACCGCTGCCCTAGGAGATGCCCCACAGTTTGTCTGCGCCCATGTGCCCCACCCTGGGACACAGTGGTAGCCAAAACAGCTCTTGTCCCTGCCCTCACAGGCCCACAGTGACAGCCCAGTCCAAGGTGTGGGGCCAAAATAGGTTTGGCACAGGCAGAGTGGTCAGGGCTAGGACTGGGGAATCAGGGGTCCTGGCGGCAATCTGGGAAGCAAGAGTTGGACCTCAGGATCCCAGTGCAGGCTGTCCATCGAGCTGGGAGGCGTCAGGCAGGACACCCTAGAGGAACGGATGGCTGAGCCGGAGCCTGAAGGATAATGTTGCCCAAGACTGCGACTCCAATGAAAAACAAAACAAAACACTTTTTTCTGCCTTAGCATCCATCTGGTGGAGCTCTTGTCTGGAGGCATCAGTGCGGTCCCTCGGCGTGTCTGAGGTCAGGGCCACGAGGGGGCGCTGTTCTACCGCGCTGGTGCAGTATCTCCAGTGACTCCAGGTGGCCTGGCAGGAGCGGGAGGACTGGGGGACGTGGTGAGGCCAGGGGTATTTGTGTGGAGAACTTTTCCGAAGAGACCGCGGCAACAGGGGCGACGCGTGGCCCTGCGACGGGCAGTGGCAGCAGTTGAACGTGGGCGGATCGGCGGGAGACCATTGTCTTAAGGGGCGGGGCTTCCTAAAGGGGGGCGGAGTGCGAGGCACCGCGTGGAATGTTACAAAACCGCGCTCGCAGCTCTGGATGGTTCCAGGGGACAAGGCGCCTCCAGAGACGGGGCCCCAGCAGCGGGAGGAGCCTTCCAGAGCCGGGAGAAGGGGAGCACCACACGGCGTCCTGCGTGGGCCACTGTGGGGCCTGGTGCGCTGCTGTGGGATGGGCGAGGCTTTCCAAACCACACCGGCAAGGGGGCGCTGAACCAGCCTGAGCTGGACGTCCCCCCCAAAATGAGGGTGGCGTGCGGGTGCAGCACGTGGCGTTGGTAAGACGACGAAGTCACCTGGCAGGGCGGGGGTTTTAACTCGGTATCCCTGGGTCTGCTCTGAGACCTCCCAAGCCTGGGGAAAGTGGAGGATGGGAAGTTAACCCCAGATCTGTGGTCTATGCGGAGGGAGAAGCACCAGGAAGGGCGAGAGTCACCATCGAGTGTGGAAGGAGCCGGTGGGAGGGCCTGGGGAGATAACGGGTCTGGGACCGCGAGGGACCGAAACATCGGCATCAATGGGACTTATTGGCGGCGGTGGGGGTGGGAGGGTTTCTCAGAGCTCTGAGAAAGACTGCTCTGAGTCTGGGGAAGAATGGTTTTGTGTAAAGATCAGCCTCTAGCAGGGAAGAATATCTTGACTCTGTCCCTGATTTGCTGTGTGCTGCATGGCTTCAGTTTTCCCATCGGTCCAGAAATTGGAATCATCTCTTGGGCCCTTTCTGCCCCTCACTCGCCAGCGGTTTGCGGAGGTGAATTGCAGACACTGCCTCTTTTGCACCTGGCACTCTGCTGGGACACCTGTGTCCGAGACAGCCCCAGATCCACCACTCACACACAGTCCCGTGGGGCACCAGATAGTGAGTGACAGCCCGGGATGAGTCAGGGCTAGACTGGGGGCAACGGAGGCAGAGGGATCAGGGCTGGGATCGGGGGAGCACAGGGCCCTGTAGGATCCAAGTAGGGAGGGGGCGCTCTTGATTCATCCTGTAGGTCAAAGTTATATCTAAACTTTGAAACGATTGGATGGAGGGTAGGGCCTTGGAGGAGGGTCCAGTTCTAAGAATAGGAGATAGGATAGTACAGCGACCAGAGAGGGCGATTTAGGCAGAGGGCATGGCATGGAGATAAGAAAGTGTAGCTCATTTCCGGCAGAGTCCTCTGCTCCCTCCCTGGGGATCCTCTTGGTGCCCTGGCAGAGCCTTTGTCCCCTAGTCCAGGATCCACAGCTGAGTGAAGGGCTATAATGCAAACAGTGTAAACTCCTGATGGCATACCCTAGGCTTGTTCCCTCTCGGCCTGGTGGTTTAATGCCTGACCTTGAGGTTGGTGTGAACCCCAGCGCCCCTACTAATCAGGTGTGTGACCTTGGGCAAGTGACTCAACTCCCTCATTCATCAAATGGGAATATCATATTGGGTTTCACCAAATCAATCACCTCATTTTAAAGAGCTATAAAGAATTCAATATAGCTGATATATTTAAAAATATATAACTTGTAGATTATACATAAGGGATCCAAGAGACAAAAGCCTGAAAAACAACACGCTGCCACATCAGATGACACTTTGGCCTAAGTTAGGGAAAACACAATTGACAACGCGAGAATTTGCCAGCGCAAAGATGTACTATTCCAAACCTCATTATTTGAAATTTTAATACTGAACTTATTAGCAGCAGATTAGAACTTTTTGTTTGTTTGTTTAAGGTGAGGCAAGCCTTGGTTGACCTCACAGATTGCAAGGACCTTGTCAGCTTACAGTCCCTTATTCTTCTGTTTTATTTTTTACGCCTACAGCACCTGGTCTTCCTAGGTGGTCTCCCATCCAAGTACTAACCAGGCCCGACCCTGCTTAGCTTCCGAGATCAGACGGTATCAGGCTTGTTCACGGTAGCATGGCCGTAGACAAGAAATTTTTGAACTCCTTGGTTCAAAAATCTGTAAAAATCAGAAATGGGGTGATTAATTTAGGGTACCCTTTACTACTCACCTCTCCAGAGCTGGGTCAGCTGTTACTGCTGCTACGTTCTGACTCAGAGGTCATTAAACAGGGAGACCCTCCTGTTTTAGAAGATGACTTGAGAGGAAAGGCTCTGTAACCACACTATCCCCCTGGACACACATTTCGCTTTCCTGAGGGGTACCATTATATTCTTCCTTTATTGGCTGTCCTTTGTATAATACAAATCTGCAAGTTTAGATACAAAAAAATCTGGAAATAAAAGATAGAAAAGTACCCGCCAGGCACCCTTCCCCCCTCCTCTGGACCCCTCCCCAGCGGGCACCAACGTGAGGTAACTGAGCGTCTCCTTCCCCTTCCCCCTACCCCACCTCCTGGGCCCTCAACTTGGCCCCTGCCCCCGTGAGACCTTGGCCCAAGGAAGATGTGGGCCTCCGAGTGGGGGGAGGGGTGGCAGAGGTGAGCACAGCATTGGCAGTGAACGCAGCAGATGGGCAGAGGGAAGCCCTTTGCTTGTGCTGTGTATGGGGGGTGGGCAACCAGACTTGGGGTGGGCATCTGTACGGGGCCCTGTAGAGCCCCTAAGTGGGCCTCCCTCCCCCATCCTACCCAACACTGGAAGGTGAAAGGTCAACAACAGAAACTGAGAAATGTAGCTTGAGCCGAGGACACTCAGTGGGACTGTGGCCATTCCCCAGTGTCTGGGGTGGGGGCGAAGAGCCATTGCCGGTCTAAGACTGGCAGTGAAACGGGTCCCTTAGCCAGGCTGGGTCCATCCCTGAATTCCATCCTGTTGCAACCTGGGCATTACAATGTCGGTTCTGTGTTTGTCGGGGTGATGGAGGGTGATTGAGAGAAGGGGTCAGAGGGGCACAGCCCCAGGGAGCAGGATGAGGGGGGAGGTTGGGCCTCCAGTCCCAGGCGTGGGGCACCTGGAGGCAATGGGGCGGCTCGGGCTACAGTTCAATCTCGAAGGTCTTCTGCAAGTCGCCGGAGAAGGGGTTGGAAGGCTTCTCCACAGCAGGTTTGCCTTCTAACGCTGCCCACTGGGCCTCAAAGGGGTCCAGCTCAGGGGCTGGGGCAGGTGCTGGCTCTGGGGGCCAGGGTGCCCCATTGGGGCGTGGGCGGGCCTGGCCCCCAGGGGCAGTGGGTGCAGCAGGGAGCGGGAAGGCCCCAGCTTTTCCAAGCAGGGTGGCGGGCTGGGGCTGGAGCTGGGCGGCCGAGCAGAAGGCGTTGGCCACCATCTGTGAGGGTGTGATGCCCACCACGGGTACACGCGGCACGGGCGCGTAGCTCAAGCCTGGGTAGGTGGGCACAAAGGGGGGCTGCATGTGTGGGGGTGGCAGGAACACGGCCACCTGGGCAGGTGCAGCATCAAAGGGCCCCACGGGGGCAGAGAAGGGCTGCAGGGTGGGGGGCACGGGGGGCACAGCGGGCATCGAGGCCGCTTGCTGCTGCTGCTGCTGCTGCTGCTGCTGCTGCTGCTGCTGCTGCGCTTTGGCCACCTGGGACACCTCCTCGAGCCACCGCTCAGCCTCCGAAGGGGTCCGCTTGTGCCCTGGCTGGAAGGCAGCTGCAGGAGCCACGGAGGGCTCACCCCAGGCAGAAGTCCCTGGAGAAAGGAGAGGGGCAGGTGAGGGCGTGGGCCTAGACCGGGATCAGGCACGAGCCAGGCTGCCTCAAATCCCACTCTGCTCTTCACTAGCTGCGCCGACTCTAGGCAAGCGGCTTAACCACCCCGGACCACGAGATGGTTTCGCGGTGCTAAAAAAAACAGTTCCGATCCAGTTCTGAGATTCCAAGGTCCCAAGATGGAGGAGTACAGGCAGGACTGACAATCGCCCAGGCCAGCTGCCCTTCTGATGGGTCAGTGCCACACCTGTTAGTAAATATGTTTAATATCACCCTTGGTTCTAATATTTTGAGGATATACTGCATAGGAGGCTAAGATTCTAAGGCTCCATGGATCTTTCTCAGACTGTACTATGCTAATGTAAGGAATAAGGTTGGATGGTTTTAAGTTTGTGTTTTCTAAGATTCTAGAGTTTTAACATTGTTTGTGATTCTAAGGTTCTAGGATAAGCCTCCAGCCCTCAGGTGACTCCGGGGCACTGTTTCTCAGAGAGCATTCTCCCAAAGCTGTGCGCTTCCAAGGTTTCATGGTTCCGAATCTGTTAAGTTCTATTTCGCCTGTGATTAAGGCTGGAGGTTTCTAAGCCTTATTACTTTAAGACAAGAAGGTTTAAAATTGATCCCATGGGTCTCGGATGGCCTCGTGGCTCTGAGACGACCCCACAGCTGTAAGGTGACCCACGGTTCTAAGCCTGTGGGACTCTGAGATCCGGAGTCTCTGAGGCAGCCCTGCGTGGAGCAGGGGAATACGGGAGGGGCGCTGCAGGGCGTGTGCCCCAGGAGCGGGGCTGGGCTCACCTGCTGGCACCGGCGGTGGCCCCGGCGCTGGGGCTCCAGCACTGGCAAATGACGAGCTGATCTGCGTGCACAGAGCATTGATGCCGTCGCTGTCGCTGGCGCCAGGGGGCTCCATCTCAGGCACTGGGAAGTCCGGGAAGGGTGGGCATTAGTGAGCACGCCCAGGCCCTGTCCTTTCTTGATCCCTATGCCCTCAGGTGGCTCTCTCACAAAGTGGGTCTGCTCCGGAGTAACTAAGTGGCCACGGTCCCAAAAATGATCACTCTGTGCACATGTGCGTGTACCATCTGAGTGGTACAAGTAGCGTGTGACACTGGTGTGGAGGAGAGACGATTCTCTGATGTGACCACGGCCACACCCATGAGCTGCATCAGGGCAGGATAGATTGCTTCTTGTAAATCAGGGACTGTCAGATCGATACCCCTACCCCAGACCCCCGTGGCCCAGGCATGCTGGTTTGTGGAACAGGCCCTTCCCCAGGGCGGGCATGGACGGCGTTTTTCCTTTATCTGGGATGGGTCACATCTAGTACCTCCCTCCATCCTGCCCTGTCCTATATAACCTTCTAGCGCTTGCCACGTGGCATGAAGGATATCCAGCTCGTCTTGCCACCTCATATGTAAGTTCCCTTAATAAACTCTTGACGTAATAACGGAGTTGTTAGCCTCCTTCTCTGATCTCTTGGCCCCAGGAAATTTTCCCATCAATTGGACGGCTGACAGCCACAGAGACCCCAAATCAAAGAGGACCTCAAGGAGGACCTGTGTGTAGCTGCAAACCAGAAGAAATATTTGAAATGTTTAACAACATCTATTAATTCAAAACTATGTTCAACCACGTATATGGCAAAGTGCACTGACCAGTCAGAATGGATGTTGGCCACACGGCATTTCACTGGCTGAGGATCATTTGTTCTGCTTTGGGTGGCGAAGGAGGCCCTGTCCACCCCATCTAGACTGGCCTATAACATACATCAGAAGGGCAGAATTGCACCTGTGCCAGGAAGACAGGTGATACTGAGCAGGTGCAGCAGCCTAGTGAGCACTTGGGATGAGCAAAGCCACCATCTGAATAAACAATAGAGGACCACAAAGCGTGGTATGTGACAAGTGATATTTCAGCAAGTGGCTGTCTCCAAGGGAGTGTGCATAATCCTCCAACGAGCATGAGAAAGAAACTGGCCGGAGGAGTCGGCAGGTGTGACACGGGGGTGCACGGCTGGTGGGGTATGTGGCTTCTAGGTCAATTCTGTAATGACTGTGTGTGTTAGTCCCAATGGGTGTGCAGCTGCTGAGGGTGAGGCATCCGAGTGTGACTGAAATCCAGGGGGGTGGCATCCTGATCGTGATTGCCAAGTGTGAGCCAATCCGCCTGTGTGATGTATGAGTGTGCCTCCAGGTGTTCATGAACTCGGGTGCGTGGTTTGTGAATGTGTGTAAATCTGGGTGTGTGATCTCTGGATCTCGATATGTGCTTTCTAAGTGTGTGTAACTGCAACAGCTTAGATTTTGATTGTGCAACTTCCAAGTGTGTGTGACTTTGGAGTGTACATGACTAAGTGTGTGACTATGCCGTGGGTGTGACGCCTGCAGCAGACTGTGACATCTGTGTGAGTCGGTGAAATTTTGTGTCGTAAGTCACATCCAAGCAAGTGTGCAACTGGCTATAGAAGTGTAAGTCTTCCAAATAAAGCCTGGCAGACCTGCCACCTCCCAGGGAGCATGCGTGACAGCCCTGGGGGTGTGCTTAATCCGAGGTGTGCAATGGCCAAATGATGCCGCAGGACATGGAGTGAGTGTGCGTCATTCTCAACAAGCGTTGGCATCTGTTCAGCAGTCACCTTCTGGAGTAGCCCAGCCTCCTGGATATAGATCGACACCTCTCACACCAGTCACCAAGGCCAGGAGGGGCAGGTGTCTCAGATTTGGCGAATGGAGGCAGGAGAGCAGGCCAGATCACATGACTTCCCTGACAGCTGGGAAGAAAGGCAGCCCTCCTGCCTGTCTCTCTCTGGCAAAACATGGTACTGTGCCACCTCTCCTCTCCCTTTGTCATGGCGGACGCTGCTCTAGATCATGACATACGCCACCTCTCTTTTCCCTGGCCCATGGCAGACATTAGTAATCAAACATGATGCTTTACTCCACTGAACCCTTTGCTCACCTCACCCCTCACCTGGCCAGACCTCATGGCTCTACTGGTCAAACAGTGGAGAGGACTGGTCCTTGTAACGCCATCTGACCTCCAAGCAAAACAGGACATTTATGCTGCCTCTCTCCTAGCTGTGCCCACGGCAGACATCGCTAATCAACGATGCACCTCTATATTCCTCTAATCAGTGATGGTGGGTGCTGCCTCTGCCCAATCCTTTGCCCACGAGTGACATCACGAATCCAACACTATGCTCCCTGACCCCATGATCCCCATGCTCATGTGTGCCCTTCACCTCATGTTTCCTCTGGACAAATTCTGGAAGTCTCTCCCTGGGCAAAAACATACTCCTGCTGCTCGCTTTCTCTCTCTCCCCCTCACCTACGGCAAACTTGCTAATTAATCACGTGGTGTGCCACCTGCTCCTTTTCCTCGTTCATGGCAGATGCTGCAAGGAGATGATGATGTAAACCATCAGATTATTCTCCTTGCCCTAGGCAGACATTACTAATCCATCACAATCCTCCTTTCCCCTCAGCCTGAGGATTACCTGTATTCTTCACCTGGCCAGATCTCATGTCTCTACTGGCCAAGTGCTTGAAGGGAGCATTAGCCTGTGGTGTCTTAGGCTCCAGCAAAATCAAGGCACCTGTGCAGCTGCCTTCCTCCCCTTGTCCAGGAAAGACTTTGCTGAATGATTCTGATTTGTGCCATCTTTCTTCTCTTCCTCGTCCATAGCAGACAGTGCTAATCAATCAGGATTTTGACTACCTCTCTACTCTCCCTTGCCGGTGGCAGACGCTGCTAATGGATCATGTGTTCCCCGGTTCTCGCTGTCGCGCGTGGCAGACAGTGCTAATCAATCATGGTGCCTACCACCGCTTCTCTATCTCTTGCGCACACACACACAGACAGGGCTACCGATCCCGACGTTCCTGCCCACTGAACCCGGGGCTTACCTGTGCCCTTCACCTGGAAGTCCGTGCGGCGCTGCAGCGTGGATGGCAGCTCATTCAGCCGTAAGCTCAGCTGCCGTTTGAAAGGCGAGTTCTTCTGGCTGAGCGCCGGGAACCCGCGGAAAGAGCCCTGGCGGACCAGCTGCTCCAGCGGGGCGTGGCGCCGGGGAATGGCAGCCGCGCTGGTGCCTGCGGCCACGGGGGTGCCTGCCTCACCCTTCTCGCCAGGGGATGTGGTGGCTGGTGTCGGGGACACGTGCCCAGGCTGGGCAGGACCAGGAACCGCAGTGGGGGCAGCCGCTGCCTCTGCTGGAGACATGAGAGAGACAGGTGGTTAGATACCTCGCCTTGTCACCGGAAGCCTCTCCCACCTGGTCCCCAGGATCATTCCCCAAAGCTGCCTTCCTCACCTGAAGTGTCCTGTCCTCCAGACAGGCCGGTCAGGGCCCCAAAATGTCCCTCCTCCCCACCCAAGTCAAGACTACTTTCCCCAGGAGGCCGTTGGGGAATTGTCTCCCAGCCTGACCTTCTGTGTCTTGAGCTTCCTGCCCCGAATCTGTCCTCCTCTGCTGCTCCTGCTGATTTTCCCTTTGAGACCCTCTGTCTCATTTTATAGTTAATTTAATGGACACTTACTTGGTACGTGACCAACGTATCAGGCCTTGTTCCAAGCGCTTTACAATTATTAACTCATTCAATCTTCACAGTCACCCAGTGAGGTCAATACTACCAGTATCCCCATTTTACAGATGTGGAAACCAAGGCCCAGCAATGGTAAGTGGCTTGCCCAAGCCACAGGTAGCAAGAGGCAGGCTGACTCCGGAGTCAGTAGTCCGAACAACTGCCCTAGCCTGTCTCTCCCTCGGGCCTGGTGTCTCCACGTCCGGCTGTCTTCTTTTGTCATCCTGTCTGCTCCTCTGTCCCTCTACCTCCCACCATTCTTCCCACCTCAAGTACCTCCTCTCTTCCTCCAGTTGCTACCCGTCCTTCTAGACCCAGCTTGGCATACTTCCTCTGGGGAGCTTTCCAGATCTTTCTAGGCCCTCAGCCTGGGCTCCCTCCACTCTGGAACTGTCCTCTGTCCTCTAGGGGACACTTGGTCTCCCCACTCAGCACAAGGCATGCTCTCTAACGGCAGGGTCCCCTCACCCCTGCCAGTACACAAACACCCCCCTCGTCCGGTCAGGGCCTCACCCGAGCTGCAGCCTGAATGCTGGTGAGATTAAACTCAGGTCCAGAGAGGGCAGGAAGGGCACCCAGCGTTTCTTCTCCCATTTTCCAGGTGGAGGTGCTGCAGCTCTCACCCAGGCCTGGGCCAGGGCAGTGGGAACAGCCTGAAACAGGCTGGAACCAGGAAACTGCCTCTGCCCCCACCTCACTGTGTGACCTCAGAAAGTCTCCTCCCCTCTGTGGGCTCCAGTTTCCCGACTGTAAACCTGGGATAAACACCCCTCTGCTGCCTCCCCGGGCCCCCCAGAGAGGGTCAGCTGAGGCAGTGAACGTTCCATGCTTTGGAATCCAACAAAAGCTTGGTCAAGGCCTCGGCGGAAAGCATTCCACTCCGCTCCTAAGCTGGAAAGAGCTCTGTGTACAGAGCAGCGCCTTGAGACTGAATCAGCGCACCATCAGCAAAACACTGGGTGACAGGCTCTGCAAATCGTCACGTACTTCATAAACCCTCATTTTGCTGTGCAAGCTGTGCTGTGCTTTCTACAATGCAAAATACCTGGAAACTACACCCTTCGGAAACAGCAAAACCCTTTGCAAACTCTAAAGCAGATGACGACAGTCTCCGTGAATTCTAATCTGCTATATGAAGAAATACTCATAAACTGTGAAGGACTGTGTACTCAGGGCGTTCTTTGTAAACAATAAAATGGCATGTGCTCTACCAGGCCCTCTGTGAACTTCTCTTGTAATCTGCTTTGCCGATGATAAAATTCTTTGCAGACTCTAACAGATGATGTAAACAGTAAAAGACTGTAAGCTGTGAAGAACTGTGTAAATTTGTAAAGAGGCATGTAAACGATCATGTAATTTACAAATGAAAATATACTTCAGAAACTCTAATATTCCAATAGGTGATAAAAACCTCTGGTTTCCTAACTTTTTAGTTAGAAATATTTTCAATGTACAGAACAGATGCAATAATGGAACAATAAGCGTGTCGGTTCCCTTAACCTACAGTCCCCCATGATATCATGTCACTAGATCTTTCCCTTCTTCCATAATTTTTTTTTCTGAACCATTTAAGAGTAAGTTGTACCAAGTTAGAGTAAGTTATTCAACTCCAAAACCTTCAGCATGTACCTCCTAAGAATAAGGACAGTCTCCTACAAAATAATAGTACAATTTCTCACTTGGGGAATTTAACATGGGTATAATAAATACTATTAGCCAATCTACAGTCCATATTCCAATTTTCCCCATCGTCCAATCATGTCTTTTATAGATGTCCTTTTACACACACACACACACACACAATCCAGGATCCAATTCAGGACCACGCATTGCATTTATTAATATTTGTCAAGTCTCTTTAGTGTCCTTTATTCTGGAACAGTTCCCAATGGTAAATTCTTTGTTATTTCTAAGCAGTGTTTTCCAAAAATTTAAAAACTAGAATCCACAGAAAAATGTGCCCATTGTGACCGGGCACATAATATACTTATATTTTAAAAACCACTGTTTTAGAACTTACAAAGTATTTGCCATTTACCTAGAATGTTAGGAGTTTATCGGGTATTTTTCAGACTTTCTCACTAGCAACCCTGAGAAAGAAATACATTTTACATGGTTCCACACAGACATATACAAACATATGTACATGCATGTACATATATGTACTGAAACAAAAGTATCATTAAACTATACTTAACCCTCACTATATTCGATTACTCTGACATTTTCTATTTTTTTCTATTTCACTTTTTCAAATGGCAGCCACAATCCAGCAAACTGACTTCGCAACCCATTAACAGGTCTCAATACCCAGTTTGAAAAGCCTCGAACCTCCCGGAGCTGGCAGGTAATAAAGCACTTTGTGAGCTTTGCTGGGATTTGTGGCCTAAAGAATACTGCTCACAGAACTCCTCAAACTGAAGTGAGCTTTATAAACGGTAACCAGATTTTGCGGTGGGTGCTCCGCTTTGTAAACTGTAGAGTCCCTGTGCCTCTGCAGCTCTCCCTGCAAACCGGTCCCCCTGGCCCCACCTGGCCCCACTCTGTGCCCAGCCCTGCCCTCTGGGCAGCACCCACCTTTCTTTTTGTCCGGGGCCTCTCGCTCAGCAGGCCGCCCGCCCCCAGAAAGGCGGAAGGAACCCTCTCGGGAAAAGCTCGTGCGGCTGGCGTCGAAAGCAGCCGTGACCCCACATTCCTTCTCCCGCCGCTGTTTCCTCTCGAGGCAGGCTGCAAAAGCACAGCCCACGGCGTGGCTCAGCCTCTCGCCCTGTGGGAAGAGGACGGAGGCGGGGCGGGGTTAGAGACACTGTGGTGTACCAGCAGGATGCCAGGAGCCCTGGGTTCCAGCAGCTCCGCGCTGAGTGACTCGGCATGAGTCCCTTTGCCTCCCTGGGCCCCAGTGTACATCTGCACCATGCGGGCTATGAATGACAGCCCGAGAGAAAAAAGGCAGAAACAAGAGTACCATACTATGGAGAGTCCTCAAAAAATGACAACTAGAACTGCCGTCTGACTCAGCAATTTCACTTCTGGGTATTTGTCCAAAGAAAACAAAAACACTAACTCGAAAAGACATATTCACTCCTATGTTCGCTGCAGCTGCACTAGTAAATGGCAACCTAGATGTTCATCAACAGACAAATGGAATATTACTCAGCCATAATAAAGAATGCCATCTGCAACGACATGGATGGACCGAGAGGGTATTATGCTAAGTGAAGTAAGTCAGACCGAGAAAGACAAATACCATATAACTTCCCTTATATGTGGGACCTGAAAAATAAAATAAAATAAAATAAAAGAAAGGAACCAATAGAACAGAAACAGACCCATAGATAGAGAACAAGCTGATGGTTGCCAAAGGGGGTGGGTGGGAGATTGAGAATGGAAAACAGAGCAATGCTGTAGCCTCCGTGGGCACGACGTTCGAAAGGAGGCAAAACTGATCTATGGTGAAAAGAGGCAGGACAGTGGCTCTTTCTTAGGGAGTAGGGGAGGGGTCTGACTGGGAAAAGGCAGGAAGGAGCAGACGGGCGGTGGTCATGTTCTTAGAGCTTGACAGGGGTTTGGCTTACACAGGTGAAGGCAGTTGTCAAAACTCAACAGAAGTATATTCAAGGTCTGTGGACAGCATGTGTTTTTTTCCCAAAGAAAAAGAGCTGAAGAAAAGTATGAATTCTCCTTAACAGTATGCATGCTGAAGTGTTTGGGGAAAGTATTCTGGTACTTGCAACTGTGAAATGCCTCAATAATGAGATGGACAGATAAATGATAAAGTGAGCACAAACCAATGTGAAAGGCAGGATCTGGGCAGAACGTGTACAGGTGACTCGTTACTATATAAGTCTTTCGACCTCACTATAAGCTTGAAAATATTTTTTAATAAAATGTCGGGAATAAAAATGACAGCTCCTGTTTGTTGAGTGCCTACTTGAGAAGCTCCAAGGCTGTGTGTTCTCAAGAAAATCACTTCACCTCCCAGTGCCCGGGCTGCCTCACCTGTAAAACGAGAGCCCTGACAGCAACTACCTCACCGGGTTATTGCAAGAATTATGTGAACTAATATAGCAAGGCATGCAGCAAAGCGCCAGGCACAGGGAAACATCACATGTGCCAGCATAAATCTGTCTAGTCCTGGGCTGAGCCCTGACTTGCATCCTTTTATGGAATCCTCACCACGGTACCAGGAGATGGACACTCTGATGAACCTATTTTGAAAAAGAAAAAACAGGCTCGGTCAACACACTCATGATAACAAGTAGCAGAGTTGGGATTCCCATGAGATCTGTCAGACTTGTTTCCTAAACAAGATGCGCAGCCATCTCTTAAAGTTAAACTTGGAGACAAACATCCTCAAACTGAACTCAGCAGCATAACATTATACACCACAATCAAGTAAGATTTATCCCAGGAATGCAAGGTTGGTTCACCAGATGAAAACCTATCAATGTAATACACATTAATAGGACGAAGGAAAAAAACCACATCATCTTAATTGATGCAGAAAAAGCATTTCGCAAAATTCAATACCCTTTCACGATTAAAAAAAAACAAACTCAAAAAATAGATGGGAACTTCCTCAACCTGACAAGGGACATTTATGAAAATGTCACAGCTAACATCATACTCGATGGTGAAAGAATGAAAGCTTTCCCTTGAGATCTGGAACAAGAAAAGGATGCCCATTTTTATCACTTCTTTTCAACACTATAATGGAAGTTCTAGCCAGAGTAATCAGATAAGAAAAAGAAATAAAAGGCACCCAAATTGGAAAGAGAGAAGTAAAATTATCTCTATTTGCAGATGACATGAGCTTTTATGTAGAAAGTCCTAAAGAATCCACAAACCATTAATGCTAATAAATGAATTACGCAAAGTTGCAGGGCACGAGATCAACGAAAATTAGTTACATCTATATACACTAGTAGTGAACAATCCAAAAGTAAAATTAAGACAATTTCATTTACAATAGACTCTAAAAGAACAAAATGATTAGGAATAAATATAACCAAGGAAATAAAATCAGATACGCTGAAAATTATAAAACATTGCTGAAAGAAATTAAAGAAGCCCCAAATAGATGGAAATACATCCTCTGTCCATGGACTGGAAAACTTAATCTTGCTAAGATGGTCATATTTCCCAAAATAACCTACATATTTAATGCAATCTCTATCAAATCCCAATGGACACTTACAGAAATGGAAACGCTGATCCTAAAAGTCATATGGAATTGCAAGGAACCCAGAATACCCAAAACAATTTTGAAAAAGAACAAAGCAAAACACTTTTCAATTTAAAAACTTACTCCAAAGCTACAGTAATTAAAACAGTATGGTATTGGCATAAGAAGAGACGTACAGACCAATGAAATAGAACAGAGAGCCCAGATATATATCCACACATCTATAGTCAATTCATTTTCAGTATGGGTGCCAAGACTATTTGATTGGAAAAAAAATAGTCTCTTTAACACATGGTGCTGGGACAACTGGATATCCACATGGCAAAAAAATGAAGCTGGATCCCTACCTCACACCGCTTACAAAGATTAGCTTAAAATGGGTCAAAGACCTAAATGTCAGAGCTAACGCTATAAAGCTTAGCATAAAACATGGAGTTTTATAAACAAAACATGAATTCTTGGATATGACATCAAAAGCACAAACCACAAAAGGAAAAAAAAATTGAAGTTCATCAAAATTAAAAAGATTTGTTAATCAAAGGACACCAGCAAGAAAGTGAAAAAACAACCCACAGAATGGGGGAAAGTTTTTGCAAATCACATATCTGATAAGAGTCTAATAACCAGAGTACATAAAGAACTCTTCCAATTCAACAACAAAAAGACAACTCAATTTAAAAAATGGGTAAAGGATCTGAATGAACATTTCTCCAAAGAAGACAAATGGCCAATAAACACAGAGAAAGATGCTCAACATCATTAGTCATTAGGTAAATACAAATCAAAACCTCAATGAGATAACCCCTTCATACATACTAGGATGGCTATAACTAAAATAATAGAAACTAATAAGTGTGGATGAGGATGTGGAGAAATTGGAACCCTTGTACATCGTTAGTGGGAATGTAAAATAGCGCAAACATGGAAAACAATTTGTCAATTCTTTAAAAAGTTGAACATAGATTTACTCTATGACCCAGCAATTCCACTCTGACATATATACTCAAAAGAACTGAAAAGAGGTATTCAAACAGATACTTGAACACAAATGTCCATAGTAGCACTATTCACAAGAGCCAAAAGGTGGAAAAAAACTCAAATGTTCATCAATGGATAAACAAAATATGGTCTATCTATATAATGGAATATTCTTCAGCCATAAAAAGAAGGGCCGATACATGCTACAACATGGATGAACCTTCAAAACACAACGCTAAATGAAAGAAGCCAGTCACAAAAGACCACCTCCTGTATGATTCAATATGTATGACATATCCAGAGTAGGTAAAGCCACAGAGACAGAAAGCAGATTAGTGGTCGCCAGGGGCTTGGAGTGTGTGGAGGGGACAGGGAGTGACTGCTTACTGGGTGGGTATGAGGTCTCGTTTACGAGTGATGAAAATGTCTAGATCTAGACAGAGGTGATGGTCAAACAATATTGCGAATGTACTAAATGCCATCGAATTGTACAATTTTAAATGGTTAATTTTCTGTACATTTCACCTCAAAAAAAAGGTTAAACTTGGGGAATCCTGGGAATTCCACTGCTTAATGCTTATAACCCGAAGCTCGGACGCCGGAGGGAACTCAGCCAAGGTCACGCTCCACCCACGGGATCTGTCCCTGCCTTCCTCTTGCTTTGATTCTCGTCCTCGGATCCTTTTCAGATAACAGCAACTGTTCCTAGTTACTGGCCACTTATTCCAGACTCTGCTTAGAACTTTCTGTGTGGGACCATAATGCATGCTTCCCCCATAAACCCGTGAGCAGACCGTGCTATGACCCCCATGTTACAGAGGAGGAAACCGAGTCCGGGTGAGAAGTCACGTGTGCCTAAGGTCCCACGACCAGGTGGTTCGACATCAAATCCACAGCAACCGTGTAGCAGTGTTTTCCAAAAACCGTTGCAACAAATTTCTGGCCCCACATGCTCTTCTAGAATCCTGTCACTCCGCCATCAGAGGTGGAGTCTCTGTTCTCTTTCCTGAGCCTGAAAACATACCTCTCCCTTCTTCCCTCCCTCTCTCTCCCTCTCTCTCTCTCCTTCCTCCTCAATGTGCCACCATGTAAGAGTCCAGCTTTCCCAAAGCCTCCATGCTGGAGACCCTGGGAAGAGGTCCTGAGACAACACGGACGGAGGTGTCCAGCCAGTCTCGTGGTGCTACAGCTCTGGACACCAGCTGACTGCCACAGCATGCAAAAACAGCAACCAGACCCACCCAGCTGAGCCTTTCCCAAATTCCTGACCTACAGAAACCATGAGAGATAATAAGTGATTGGAATTTTAAGCCACCAAATTTTGGAGCGATTTGTTATGCAGCAACAGGTGACTGATACAATGACTCTGCTATGCTCTGGAAACGGCAGTTGCTGTGGGCTCTGGGCTTCAAATATCTCCACACCAGCCCCTGGCAGGCACCAGCCAATACTGACTCATCAACACTCACACCCTCAAATTTGTTTTCCACTCTTGGTTTCAGGTGTGAAATTATGTCAGTGAGGAAGTGGGGGTATTGACTTGTTTGGGGGGCTAAGATTCTTTGGAGTAGGGATTTCTGAACTAGGAAGGAATCCTCGAGTGGAGACCGTCAGAGTCTGCAAGGAACAGGTGTTTTTTACTTGCCCAGTACCCACTATCCCCCCGCTTTTGACCCCAAATTCCCGTTGGGAGACTTCTTTTCAATGCTGGATAAGTCAATCTGGGTGCTCCGCCCTCCCCTGGCTGAGGGGAAGACACTGACCCAAGCCCGGCCAATCCCTCTCATCAGGATTTGAACCCAGAGCATTGGGAGGGGAGCTCGTGTTGAAACAGTGTCCTGAAGGAACTGCCACCTGGCACAGTATCTTCAGGCTGCCCTGCTCTCTACCCTTTCCGATGCTTAATACTCTGACTACCCTTCGATTTTGGAAGAGTCCTCATATCCTTCCATTAATTTTATTTTGGATTTAGGCTAATGTAGGGGGCTGAGACTGTGGCTTCCCATTCAGTTGCGTAGGCTCTGAAGTCAGGGTCCAGGGGACAGGGCAAAATAAAGACTCTATTTTCCACCCTTTCAAAGTAGGAATGTCCATGTGTCTAGGTTCTGACCAACAGGATGTAATTAGAAATGATACACAGCTCCCAAAAAGGAGGGGGTATGCCCCTCTTCATGCCTCCCTCCTTTCTGTGGTTGGAATGGAGATGTGAAGGCTGGAGCGTGTGCACCCATCTTGGACCAGAGAGTGGAAGCCTTACTTCATTACAGCAATGAGGTCAAAGGAGCCATGACCCCCGATGAGTGGAGAGGAGCCACACCAGTGCTGTCCTGCCCGCATCTGGATGTCTTTCACATGAAACAGAAGCAAACGTCTCCCTCACTGAAATCACTGGTATCGGTCGCAAGCTGCAGAATCCTAACTGTGAGAATGCTTCCGAAATGGCTTTCATCCATTTCTCAGAGGACCCTGATCCTCCAAAATATAAAGAAGCATAGGCAAAATGAATCACGGCTGAAGGTGCGGGTGGGAGGTTACTGCCTGAGAAGGGCCTGCGGAAGTCTGCTGGGGGCAGGGAACTCACTACAACTTGAGCTGGTCGAGGTTTACGCAGATGCAAAAATTCATGGAGCTGGACATGGAGTGCACAGGACTAAGTAGGTGATCCTAAATGTAAAAAGTTAGAGAAACATGGAGCACTACTGATAATGAGGAGGATGACAGCTAATGTTTTCCCGAGTGCTTCCTCTGTGCCGGGCATTGTTCTAAATCCTTCGTATCAACTCACTCAAGCCTCACAGTAGCCCTCTCAGTTAGTAGCTGAGAGCACAGCCCCTAACTGTGTCCAGATCCGGACACAAGGCCTAGGGAGGAGAGGTGAGTGGTTTGCCCGCCTCCGCCTGGTCAGCCAGGGCTGGGGCTGGAAGGCCAGGAACGAGCGAGAAGAGTCAGCGGGCTTTGGGCTTGGGCGGTACTCACAGAGTCCTTGAGTGCCAGGAAGCAGTGGCAAATCCAGCGGCGGGTGGTTCCGTCACGGCAGATGTAAGAGAAAGCCTTGTCCAGGTTGCGGTCAGGAGCACAAAAGGATACCTTTTCGATGGTCTGGTCTACCAGCAGGTCCTGGGAGGGGCCGGGGGGGCCAGGAGAGGAATGTGAACTCTTTCATGTGTTCACTCAGCATTCCCTTAGTGCCCGCTCTATATTCCATCCTGATTGGGGCGGGCACCCAGCAGTCACTGAAACAGCTGTAGGCCCTGCTGGCATGGGACCCCCCCCAATTTAGTGGAGGAATCACTCATCATCAGGAGGGGGCCCAGAGTCACAGCCAGACAGTAACGAGGAGGGCACAGGCAGAAGGGTCAGAGCTGGGATAGGGGAGGTGGGGAAGGGTCCGGGCCGGGAGGTGAGAGGCACGAAGGGGTCAGGGCCGAGATGAGGGAGGCGCGGAGGGGTCAGGGCTGGGATGGGGGAGGCACGGAGGGGGTCCGGGCCGGGAGGTGAGAGGCGCGAAGGGGTCAGGGCTGGGATGGGGGAGGCACGGAGGCCTGCAGGAGTCAAGAGGAGGTGTCTGACTCAATTTGGGAGGGAGTCAGGCAAAGCTTTCTGTAGGTAAAAGGCAGGAAACAGTATTTCAGGCTGAGGGAGCTGCATGTGCAAAGGCGTCAATCCTGTTCAGCATTAAGCTAACACTGGAGTGCGGGCTGCCTCCTCTGGCAGTCTCTGGGTTGGAGGCAGGGAATTCGGGGTGAGCTAACAGACGCCCCGATCCTGGCCCCACGGTGCTCCTGTCTGGCTGGCTGACAATAAACGCATAACAACGAATATTCATCGATGTGAACTTTTACACTGTACCAGGTTAACTATTTGTATGTAATTTCTTAGGTAATGGTAGGTCCTTTATTATCCTCATTTTACGGATGATGCAATTGAGACTGGTAGGTGGGTGAGCCTGGATCCGAGCTGAGGCGGCTGCTCCACACACAGTCTGTGCTCTTACCCACACTCCACGCCAGCCCACAAATAATGGCAGGACTCACTCCTGAATTATGACTGTGACAAGCGCAGGAGCACATGGCGTAGTCTAGAAGCTCCCTGAGGAAGGGGCATCCTAGGGATGGGTGGGAAAGCGTCTCTGGCCCTATTTGAGCAAGGTGAGGATTGGGGTCCACTGCTGCCTGCTCCCACCCCGACAGTCCTCCTACCTTGGTCTTGTCATCCACCACTCGGAGCCCATCAGCTGACACCCACAGGACAGACTTCACCGACTTCCGGCCCATCTGAGGTGGAGCGGAGGGCAGAGGGTGTGGTCAGGGCTGCCTCTTCGGGTCTGATCTCACCCACTCCCTGCGCCAGCCACTCACTCACCGCCTTGAGCTTCTTCACTGCATCCTCACACACGTGCATCCCCCGGGACTCCTCCACCTCCACGTGGCCCAGGTACTTGGGAGGGAGAGAGCGGGAGGACATGAAATAAGCAGAGTAATCAATAATTCCTAGTCCTCCCTGATCAGCTGTGATAAATCATGCAGTGTCCTAAGTACATCATACCTATTATCTCATTTACTCTGTACCTCAGCTGTATGTGGTGGGTCCCCCACTGCCATTCCACATATAGCGATGAGAAAACAGAAGCCCAGTGAGTAGTGATTATCATCCTGCCTCTGTCAGGCCCTGGGCCTTAACCTGTCGCTACTGTCCTTCAGAGTGCCAGCATCTGCATCTCTGCTCGAGGCCCCGCCCCGCGCAATGAATCATGGGAGTTGGGGTACACTCGCCCCAGTTTCCCCCGCTCCAGGACTCTATTTTCCAGACACCCCAGTAGCATTAAGCTCAGGTGCCCACGTGCGTTGCTCGGGTGCATTTTAGTAGCACACCCTGGATTGGCTGCCTTCTCTCCCTAACTCCCACCAGCATTTCCCACACCCCGTAACAGGCCCCTCTCACTCAAAGTCTGCTTCTGGGGTAAGGTACCGAGTTGGGATTTGTACCCGAACCCCGCTGTCCCCCTTATAAAAGGGTAGCACTAAACACTAGAGGGCTTTGCAAACGCTACAAAATTTTGGTGACCTTCCAGGGTCCTTTGGAAATTGTGAGCTCCCACAAAACGGGGTGACCCTGGCAAGACGTCCCCTAGGGAGCCTTTTCCTGGTACAAGAAAATGTGTGTTGGTTTTTAACCCCAAGTCTGAAGGACTCAGGCCGTGCGGTCCTGCCAAGGCAGGCTTCACAGCTCTTTGAGGATACGACGTCCCTGGCACAAAGGACAGGCCCTTGGCCATCACGCCCAGCGCCCTGGGCCCCGCCTGCGCACAGCCCTCGCCCCGCCCACTCACCCTGACCGGGAAGCTGCACGTGCCCTTGCGCACCGCGTCCTCGTCCGCCTGCCACTGGTGCGGGCGCGAAGCCTCAGGCACGTAGGCTGGCTTCCGCCGCCGCAGGCTCTGCCGTAACTTGTTCATGGTGCCCGCCCCGTCTGGTGACACAGGACGAGGAGATGGTCAAGGGCGCGGATCACAAGCACAGGGCTCAAGGGGGACAGACACAGCCAGTGCTCAGGGGGCATGGGGCCAGAAAACAAGAGAAAAGGGTTACAGGGTTGGGGAGCCACTGGGTCAGAGGACATGACATTCAGGGAACTTGGATCAGCAGCAGTCAGAGGACGTGGGGAAAGGGGGTGACGTAGCAAGGGAGTGCGAGAGTCAGTGTGAGGATTTAGAAGACACGGGGCTAAAGGGCAGGGAGGTCTGGGATGGGGGTCACAGCACTAGGGTCTGGAGATTGGGGATGTGAAGTAACAGGAAGTCAAGACATTGGAGGGCACGGGGGTTGGAGGGCACGGGGGTTGGAGGGCACGGGGGTTGGAGGGCATAGGGGCCAAGGGTCATGAAGTCAGGAGTTTTAGGGGTAGGAGGTTAGGGGGTGGGATGGTCAGAGAACACAGGAAGTGGGATTTGCATGAGTCAGATGTGGGAGGTGTGGGGGGGCCGGGGCCCATTGTGGGGGGATTCAGAAGGTCCAAGGATTGAGGTCCAGAGACCGGAACAGAAGGTGTAGAGTATGGGGGCTTGTCTCTGTGGCTCTAGGATACTGCCCCTCTGATGACTGTGTCTAAGGTAGGGGTCCTTGGGGGCAGTGTGCACCTGTGACCGTCATAGGTAGGGGTGTTAAGTGGAGGTGGTGGTCAGCCACTAAGCAGTCTTCACTGACTAAAACACTCTTCACGGACTCATAAGCCATACTGACAGTCCTACGAGGAGAGTGAGGGGTCACCCAGGACAGAGCACCAACAGCAGATGGAGACTCTGTGTGTACGCCTGGTGTGGTCCCAAACGGTGTCTAGAGATGAGGATGCAACTACTGTTTGTGAGCAGGTCGTTTCTGAAGGCTGTATGGAAGGATGAAGACCTGAGAATGGCTGTTTATGAGAGTGGGGGTCTGTGTCCAGGGCTGTGGTTGTTGTCTGTGAGTGCAGGTCCCTGAAGGGTATTGCTGAAGGTTGTCTATGTGTGAGAGTCGTTGTGAGTGTGTGTCAGGGAATGCTGCCTGTGAGGATGTGTCTCTGAGCAGGAAGCTGTTGTTTTTGAAGCTGTGTGTCTGTGTGAGAGTGTAGCTGGTGTCTTTGATGACTGTTGCCTATGACAGTGTGTGTCTGTGAGTTACCCAAGAGACCATGTCTATGTCCAAGACATAGCTGTTGTTTGTAAGGGTGTGTCTGTGTCAGAGTGCGTGGTGGTTGTCACAGAGTTGGGTCCATGAACGTTTTTCTGAGACCGTGTCAGTATGGACCCCTGCATCTATGAGGGTGCATGAGAACATGAGGTTGTTGTCTTTGAGTGTGTTCGTGGGTGTTATTTTTAAGGATGTGACTCTGTGAGAACGTGGCTGCTGTCTATGAGAGTGCTGGGTATTATTTGTAAGAATGTCTGTGGGCAGAAATGTAGCAGCTCTTTATGGGTCCACAGGTACTGTCTGTGAGGCTGTGTCTGCTTGTGAAGGTGAGGCTGTTGTCTGTAAGTGTGGGTTTGTGTATGTTGTCTGGGAGACTGTGTGCAAGGGTTCATCCCTTGAGAGGGTGTATCTAAGAGTCAGTATCTGGTTAGTGTCTGTAGTCGCCTGTGCCAGGGAGTCTGGGTGTTGTCTGGGAAACTGTCTGTGTGTGACCTCACACCTGTGGGAAGGTCGGTGGGTGTTTTAATATCCCAGTGTGAGTGACATAGTCTAGACGTGTGTGTCTGTGCACAAGTCGGGCTTGGATGGTCACTGAGTGTGCAGAGAAGAGGTTTGAGATGTCTGAGGGTGTCCACTCATCAGTGTGATTAGGCCTCTGTGGCTATAGAGACAGTTTCTCTAGTAATGCAAGGCAGGCCACCCACCCACTCAGCCCGTGCTCCGTTCCCAGCTGGTCATCACCTGGCTCCGTCCTGGAGGTTTCAGGGGGCCCCAGGGCCCCACAGGGGGCTGGGGGCAAATGCTGCTCAGGCCTCCTGGGTCTGCCCTGTCCAAGGGATAGAAGAAAAGGTGAGAGCCTGGCTTGGGATGGGGCTCGGTCCCCTACCTTACCCCTGCTTTGGACATCAGCCAAACCCCCTCCATCTTAGGCTCCGAGGAGAGCCTGGTTGTCATAGCAACTGTTATGAGGGAGTTGAGTAAGGACCCAGGAATGAGTAGGTACGTTTTGGGGGCATTTGTTGGGGGATATCCTGGCCTCAAGAGGCCTTTAGTACCACAGGGATGGGATGAGGAGGGAGTGGCCCTGCCCTCTACACACGTCCAGGGATACAAACATACTGTCAGATGTATCCATCTCACATCTATAGTTCTCCCTATCATCTAGTCACAGCTCTGTGCGTTTAGTTACACACAGACACAACCCCAGCCACACACGCCAGGTCATACAGACACACCTACACAGTCACGGCCACTATGCACATCTGGCCACATTGCCGTGTTCACAGATACACATTTTGTCCACATTTGTCCCAGCCTGCCTAGGTGCTGCCACAAACACCTGGTCACATCAGCTACTGATATTTGGTCACTTCTGTCTTCTCAGCCACATACAAAGAGCTAGTCCCAGGCATACCCACCAGAGTGGCACATGTACAGCCACACCCAATGACAGTTATATTCCCTCAGGCAGCCACCCAAGATACGTCACAGACTCGCCCATGTAGAATCACACCCAGTCACACCTAGCTCCACTGTCGTATGTTGACATCTGGTTATGGATGAGTGCAGACACACACACATTTGGTCACTCACAGCCACACCCAGTCACATCACATGTGTTTAATCATCTACAGGCACACAGCTGCATATGGACACTCAACTCCTTGCATCAGTCACACCAACACACTTTTTGGGTCACAAAGTGTCCCACAGTCACACATACCCAGTCGTAAGGGCACACACTTGCTCACAGTATCAGCTAACTTATATGCACAGTCCTCCATCCCCAACCACACACACAGATGCTGGTGGCCATGGCCCAGGCATTGTAGAGAAACGGGCATGCAACCACTCAAAGACAACTATCTCCAAGGATGACCACACTTAGACGCAGCCAGGCAGCCGGTGCTTCAGAGTCACAGCCATACACGTTTTAGAAGTGGTTATGAATGCAAAGTCACACAGCATCAGTATCCACATTACCCAGCCATATATCACAGTCACAACATAGTCACCCAATATCCCATACCCAGCTGTACCATGTCATAGCATCACAGAGAAACACACAGTTTCTCTTCATGCAAATACACACAAATCACACAGACATCAGTGGCCACATACCATCACAGCCCATATGGACAGATGCATATTTCACACACAGAGACATCAGCACACAATTTCCATTTCACACATCACAAGCACACAGTCAGGCGTATGCTCAGAAATGCAGTGACCCAGATGTAGCACTTACAGCTGCATATACACAGAAGGCACAATTCCTGATGGAGCCATGTACACAGTTAGGGGACAGTCACCTTGTCACCAAATCACACTCAACACCAGCAGTCCAGCATGCACACAGACACATATACCCACCACACAGCTATAGACACACTCTCACAGACCATGACACAGACACAAGTACATATAGTCACCTACACAGGGTCAGAGACATGCAAGTCACACACAAATATAGAAGCCACAGTCATATACAAACCCCCCCACACACAAACACACACTGTTACCTGGTGCCACCACACACGGACACACCTATATCTCGAGTCAGACACAATGAAATAACGTACTATTAATGGTTAGCCAGGGTTTTAGGCCCCAAGTCAAGTACATAACTCAAATCATACATTCAAAACTATTAATTCACACAATCGCTATCAATAAAGATAGATGTAGTCATTTATACAACCCTGTCACACACGGACACGGCTATGAACACACAACCACTGGCATACAAACGTAAATGTCACAGTGCTGTTGCACAACCCCAGTCACATTGTGATTGACTTCATATACAATGGCAGTCACACACCCAGAGGTGCAGGGACATTGCGTGTCACAGAGATCCATGTGTGACACGCATATAAAATCAATCACAGACACAACCACAAATGTTCACAGTCATTGGGAGAGTCGCACATGGACAGAGTCATAGACACAACTCCACTTACACACAATCATAACTCCACCCACATCTTCAGTCAACCACACACATGCCCAACCCCAGACTCAACACTCACAGCCACATACCCAGTTACCAAGGCACACGAACACAGGGTCACAAAAGATGGAATCGTAGACACAACCACGCAGTCACAACCATGCACACACTCAAACACTGACTAAAAAGTACAGGGTTCTGCACAGCTGTCACACACATATACACGGTCACACAAATGCTAGGGTCACACACAGACACAACCAGAATACAAACACAGGATTCCTCATAGTCACCAGCTGTAGCATGCACGTGCACACACACACACACACACACACACACACACACACAGCCAGTCACGCAAACACAGGGTCATACTCTTAGCCACCTCCCCAATGCTTGCTTTCCCCCAGGTACCACACACAAAGCCACTGTCACCTCAGACACAGCAGACAGACAGGGCTGCATCAGGTCCCTGGGGAGCCGCCCCCGCCCTCAGCATGAATCCTAGAGCCAGGGGAGGCCAGAACTGGGAGAGGAAGGCAGAGCATTATCTGCGGGTGGGGCCTGCTCCCAGACAGCTGGGCAGCCCCAGGGACAAAGGGGATGGCCCAGAGGACCCGTGCCCTGGGACCCTTGACCAACCCTTAAGGGCAGAAGAGAGTGCCTGAAATTTCTCTTATTTTATTCAGGCTGGGGGAGGGGGGAATGGAGTCCCAGGCATAGGGACCTTGTCTTGAGAAGGGGCTGTTCCTGGGACACCGCCCAAGGATTGGGGGAGATGCTGTGGGGCCTGGGGACAGGCTGCCAGGAATCTCCCCTGGCTTTGACTTGGTGGGGAAACTGTGCCGGGGGGACCCCATCCTCAAGACCTTGCCTAGAGGGCTGTTGTGCTCAGAGACGCCCCTCAGGCAGGGAGGGGTCAGGATGGCGTCTGGTCTGGAACCGACTCCTGGAGGCCTTGGTTTCATCTGGGGGTTGTGTTCCAGACCCGTCCCCAAAAGCTTGCTTAGGAAGCCGTACTGAAAATCTGTCTCCTGTCCTTGCTTTTTAAGGGGGACATCTGTGTCCCGGATCCCTATCTCTAGGGCCTTGGCAAGTGATGGCTTTGAGCTAGACCCCTGTCTCCCAAGCCTTGGCTTGGTGGGGCGCTGTTCGTGGACCCCCCACCCAGGACCACCCTCGCCAGCCTTGGCATCCTCTCTCCATCCGGGCGTCGCGGCCGCCTCCCACCCTCCGCCACATCAGCAG